ACACAAATCTTTGTGTATTGCTTTTTTGTGTGTTCAGAAATACAGCACTATTAAAATCCTCTCACAAACATAATTTGTAAAATTCCCAACAGGATTAAAGATACTAAATTTAATCTTAAGGTTTATGAGGATTTAGGCTTCCAAGATTCAGACATTCCATTAACAAAGGCCAAAACTAACTAATTGGCTTTATATGACAGTTGCATAAATATTAGGGTAGAACAGAACTGTGTTGAAGACAAATGAACTGCTGAATTGGTCTTCACCACCACAGAGGCAGGAATCTCAAGAAATCTATTCCCCATATAAGTGGATTTTTTTAAAACTTCATTTCCAAAGCTGAACCTTATTATAAAATAGAACAACTGAAACAATTACAAAAGATGTATGGAGAAATAGCAACACTGTTGGGCTTTATGTACAGTCAAAGAGAAGATGACAAAGATCATGCCCATAACTGCTCACCTGTTTAATCCAAATAGTGTAATGGTGGTAAACTGTATGGACTATATCCAACTTTAGTAATACCCAGAGCAGACTCACTGACATTAATGGGCATGGCGTAGGTTAATTTCAAATAGGCATACTCCAGAGTAGAACTTAATCAATACAACTCCTTGCTATAAATATATAAACAATTACATTCTAACGACTAAATATGTCAAAAGTACAGATACCAGGGTGAGATCATGCAAATGACAACAGTGATCTTTAATAATTAGTTAGAAGATGGAATTTTGGTAGTCATGGTTTCTCACCCCTACATAACTAGCTTCAATTATCTGAAATCACTTCTTCTACACAATAATTAAAAGGTATAGGTGTTTGTCCTACTTTCTGCTCACACTAGTAGCTGTAACCCAACAGCTATTCTAATCTGACAAATACAATAAAGGAAGCCACTTTTCACAGTGTAATTTTATTTATATTTCTAGTTAGCTTCAAAAGCAGTGTTTCTGAACACAGCATGAATTGTTTTTGATCAAATTTTATATTCTTTCACATTTTACCTACAACTTCAGACATTTCTCACAACAGCTATATTGTTTTTGGTTGTGACCTAAAAATAACATTGAATCAGCATATTCTGCTTCACCTATTTGTTTCATTAGTATCTCACCCTTGTCCCATCATGGGGAAAAATCCATGCTACAAATCTGATTATTATGGCTGCAACAGAAACCATGCTTACCTGAGAGTGAGCCCCACTTACTTCTCAGTAGACATGGTTAGAACTGCAGCCAAAATGCACAGGATCATTAATGTGTATCTGCAATATAATTTAACCCCTTCCATAATATATTTTTTTGGTAAGTCCAGTCAACCATTTTCACCTATTTTAAATTTATCAAAATAAATATTTAGAACACAATGAGTTTTATCCCATTTTAATTCTACTTGGAGCTGGCCCACTGACATTAATGGACATGACTAAATTAAGTTTCTAAATTTCAGTAGGTCTGCTCTGAATAAACTTCACTGCATACCCAATATTCCAAATCTTACATGTCTGCATGAGCAGCAATTTTTAAAAGCTGTCATTTATAAATTGTTAAACAAAACAAATTCATGTGTCACTCATAAATTACTAACACTTAAGTTCTTTCTAAAATATATGAATGGCTGATTTGGTCCCTGCTTTAAAAAAATGTACTACCAACTAAGTCAAAAGACAGGTTTTGAAATCTCAGTGGACACTGTTCAGACTCATTAAGTATAACCCCAATATTCCAATCCTCACCATTTCTACCCAGAAATAACTCCTACTGAATTCAATGGGGTTTACTTCCAGGTTAAGTGGGGGCTAAGGCTGCAGCCTAAAGCCTGGAAAGGGGATGTGCAATTTGTGCAATGGTTAAAACCCTTTTCGGCGTTACCTTTAAAGCAAGGGGATCCCGCTAAAAACACTTGATTGAGACATCGCACAACAGCGAATCGGCGCCTTGATTCGCAGGAGGCACGTTTTCCCCTTTGCCTGCCCTCCCCTTCCTTCCTTTTCTTCCCGCCGTAACAGAAATCCAGGAAGGGGAGAAATCTCACAGAACCCAAGCGCGTGCCTCAAAACGGGAGAAGGGGAATCCCACCCCTCTAAACATTTCCCCCACCTTGCACTTGAATCATTCATATCGCTGGGATCGCCCTCGGAAATCAACGCCTCCCCCGCCTCACATAGACCCCACACACTTCCCCTTCTCTCCCCCTAAGAAGAAGGGGGGAAAGGGGGGGCAGAAAATGCTTTCTCTTCCTCCTCGAGGTACCAGGTAGTTCACCCACCCAGAATATGGCCTGGCCATTTCTCAGGCCGACAACGGCGGCTCCCAGGGGGCCCGTGAGGGCAGAGCCGGAGCCTCGCTGGCCAATTTCGGGGCTGGCGGCGCCGCTTCCTCCATACAGATATATTGTATGTCCAGCGGCCGGTCTCGCACACCACATGCTCCCCCGCTCGGCCTCCCTCACCTGCTTGTTTCTCGGGTAAGGCTTCGAGGAGGCCGCTGCCAGGTGGTATCGCCGCGTCCGGATCTTCCCGCCGCCGCTTTCGTAGCCTGCCGCCTCCGCTTCCACCACCTCCTCCTCCTCCCGGAGCTCCGCCGCTTTCCCCCGAATCCATATTGGGACCTCTCCCGAGCCTTGCCGGCCTCCCTCCCACCCACCCGCAACCCGCACGCACGCACGCACGGCGCAAACAGAGAGGCCCGGCCTAGCCCGGCCACCCCCTGTGCGCGCGCCCGCGCGCGCGCTTTCTCTCCCCCCTCACGCTTCTTTCCCTCCCTCACGCTCCTCTCGGCCCCCACCCCTGGCCCCAATCCCGTTCTGTGCTGTCACTGTCTCTATGGCGATGCCCCGCGCCGCGCGGCCTGCCTCGCGCCCTCACAGGATGCCTGCCTCCCTCTCTCGCTCCCTGGCTAGCGCGCGCGCCGAGGCCGTCCCTAGCCGCTCCACTTCCCCCTCCCTTTCCTACCCTTTCTCTCCCCCCCCCTCCACCAACACCGTCACCGTCTAGCCCGCCCGAGATTCTCCCCCTCCTTCCTTTCCTCCCGACCAACCAGAGGACACCCGCCCGGACAGCTTGGCGTCACCAAACCGCGCGACCCGCCATCCTGCCTCATTCCAGTCGCCCGCCGACGGCCCATGAGCGCCCACGGGAAATGTAGTTTTGGAAAGCCGAGGCTGCGCAGAGAGCATATGGACACACTCCGCCCTCTCGCGGGGTGGTTGCCGATCTGACGCATTGATGCGCCACAGAATCTCGCGATATATGCCGCAGCGAAGGCCGGAAACTCGCTATTCTGGAATGAACACGATTTCCAAGGCGCCTTTTTTAACCCTTACAGGGCCGGAGATTACATGTTCATGGAAATCTAAACCAAAATACATTGCCTCACCCAATCTAAAGCTCTTTTCTCCTTGCGTTAGCAAAAATTCAGAGGAGAATCTATTGCAGCTATCAAATTATGGGCTGATTTAACCCAGCCACTATCTGAAATACTTAACAGTGGTAATTTGGAAAGTCTCTCTCTCCATAGGACAACTGGATCCAATAAACTAGTATCTTGTTAAAGAGGTCAGCTTTGACAAATTAGCTTCAACTTGTAACAGGGAGGCTGGTTTACCATTTAGTACCTGAAATGTTCTCAAGTAATGATTTTGAATAGATTCAGCCCTTTAAATCCATGTCACTGCAGAGCTGTGCTCCATAGAAGAGCTGTCCCACTGGAAAAGGATTAAGAGAACTCTGTGTTTACTATTAAGGGAAATTTGTGGCAAAACTAACGAGTTAGGATTGGTTATTGATAGTTGCTGGAAGTAAACCATAAGGGAACATGAGATGCATAGGACTGCACTGAAATGTGTATGTAGCCCAATCCTCTGCATGTTTATGGCTTGTCAATTTCCACTGTAAGCAGAGTTCCAACCATAACATGGAGCAGAAAGAACTCTCATTATACACCTTGACTAAGGATATGCAGCAATGCAGATTTTTCTAAGTCAACTACACATTTAACATTACACACGGGCAAGTAACACTACGGACACCTATTAGCATAAATGCCTACCAGTTAATTAAATCCAATCATCTCCCTCACATCGCAAAAGTCGGAGGTGTGGTAAGAGTTGTATGGAAGAGTTGTATGAAGCCAAGAATAACTTAGATCTTGAATGGGGAACCTATGTTCCTCCAGCTGTTGGACTCACCAGCTATTCTGGCCAGGGCCACATCTTCCTCAATCCTTATTATAAAGTATTCATTATCCCTCTGAAACACTTAAAAAGAAAAAATAAATTCCATCCTGGTTCAATATGTGGCATTTGCACACAATTTTTTTTTTTTGGGGGGGGGGGAGAAAGGTGCTTCGTATAATGAGCACAATCTCCAAAACAAGTTGATCAGTATGGCCTCAGGAACAGTGTCACTTTGTATTTTTGCAGAGGAACGAGGAAAACTGCTCCACTCAAATCTCACATTCTCACAATAAGAATAAAGTAGTCTTACTCCTAAGGTGGGTATAGGCCTGTAATGTGAATATTTTTTTCATCCCTTTGCTTTTGATCTTTACTGGCAGATTCACTTCCACAAAAACACAACTGCTTACTCTTGAATGAATGGTGAAATCACGAAGGTTCATTTAAAGCTGTATCAGCTAGCCAATGGGATTTTCATGTTGAAAAGGCAGCCCAACTCTGGTTAGTATGTGGACTAAGGGGCAACAGTTATCTCCTTCGGGACCTGTTTGTAAATTTTGCCCTAGAATCTGGCCAGCTACCCCGGAGACAGTATGGGACTACACTGCCCTTTGTTCTTACTCAATTAATAATGCATTTGCTCACATCATTAGGAAAGCTTATGCAAACAAAGTAAATCAAAGACCTAAGGTCCATCTAGTGCAGCATTGTCACCAGTCTTGACCAGCCAGGTAAAAGGACCACACCCACAAAGCCCCAACCCTACATTTTGGAAACTAGATCACATACTTAGTAAGGTAATGACAGGTTCCAACTGACATGTTTGCAGAAACAAAGTTTTATTATTTACATAAGCAAGTCTACTTTTAGACTAACTCTTTACATTTCCAGAATATTTACATGATTTCAAGATACCGAGTGATGAACAAAATGACAAAGGCCATCAAAGCATAGCAAAACAAAATCCAACACCGTGCTTAAAAACTTAGGATCCAAAGAAATGTTGAAGAAATGTCAATTTAGCACCTTGGTCGTAAAAGTCATGCTATGGTGTTAACATAAGACACTTTTAGAAAGCAGTAGGGATCTCAGAGGTGACCGTATCCAGAGGTTGCCAATGACAGCTCATAAGTGTGTCAAAGAGTTCTTCACTTCTCACCATAAATTCTCTGTTCATTCTGTGAACGTCTATGTTGAGCTGTGGATCTGTTTAAGCAAACAAAACATCAGTGAGCAAGGAATCAAGTAAAACAACTACTATATGGGGGGACGGGGACTTTGGAAAACAGTGTTATATAGTAGTGGGCTTCCACATGTACACCAGAATACTTTTTAACGAAGTTATATAAAGAATGCAATATTTGCATATTATGTTGTATCCTGCAGTAGCTACATTGCTGGAGAAAGATTCTACACTGCATGCAATCTTATTTTTATGATGCTCATATTCAGTAAATTTCCAACAAAGCTTGGCTGCAGTGCTATACAAACTTACCTGGAGCAAGCTCTGTTAAACTTATTTCAAAGGATGAATGCAAAGGATTGTGTTTATCATGCTGGAGTGGGGAATCTGTTTCCATCTGAGGGCTGCATTCCCTCAAGAATAACCTCCCTGGGACTAAATAGTGCTAGCATGGCAAAAGGCAAACAATGGCAATGGAGCAACAAATATGACACTACAGTACACTACTTTCCAGCTATGCAAAAGGCAGCTGTTCCCATGCCCACCACACATCTTTCCATCCTATGTCCAGATAAGCAAGAGACATCACCACAGTTCAAGGACACATTGCAACCAGACAAAAAACACTCAAGGACAGTACTCGGAAATTTCCAAGGCCAAGGGCCTAAAATAGGGGTCAGCAAACTTTTTCATCCCTCGGACTTTGTGGGGGGCCGGACTGTATTTTGAAAAATATAAATACCCTGCAAGCCGGTCCCGCAGCTGCCTCCAGACCTAGAGGAGGAACATACTCTGCACGCGCTCAGGAGCGCGTCTCGGCAATGGCCGCTCACCGGCGTTGACGAGCAGCAGCCGCTCCATCGGCCTGTCCCTGTGGAGTTCCCAGGCGGTGTGACCACGCGTTGTGTGGCCCGTCGTCCGAGGCCAGGTCGGTGGGCAGGCCACACAGCCCTCCAGCTGCTCCAGCGCGGCTGCCAAGTGCCCCACCAACAGCAGCGCCAAGCGGGCACCAGGTGCAGGGCCAGCAGGCGCGCCAAGCTCCAGCTGAAGCCCCATGACGCGCCCGTCACGATGCCCATGGCGCAGCCCAGACCTGCCGCCCGCTGGCCTCTCTGTCTATGACCACGCCGGGTTTACCTCAGTGTGCAGGCGGCAAGGCTTCAGATTGGCTGCAGGAACTTCCTGCAGCCAATCTGAAGATGCGCCCGTGTCGCCGCCCGCCCAGAAGCCATGCCAGCGTTGCTGAAGTCAGTCCCCGCACGGCAAGACGTCTGCAGTGCGTGAGGACTGACCGGGTGGGCGGCAGGGTCCGCGGGCTGGATTTACGAGCCTTGGGGGGGGGCACATCTGGCCCCTGAACCGTAGTTTGCCAACCCCTGGCCTAAAGGACCACTTTGATTCACAGGAGTTTCCCACCCCTGCTGTAAAACAACATTTCAGATATTTTCTTTGGAGAGCAGTACATTTTGCAGAATGAAAAAAAAAAGGGGGGGGGACAACATCCAATTGTTATTTCCACTTACAGTGAGACTTACCCTTCCTCCACACACCCCTGCATACCCCTGAAATCTGCTTGAGGGTTGAGGGACCCTTTGGAGCAGACTTGGGGTACAGGGCTGCAGAGGGAGATAAGGAAGAAGAATTCCACTGCAACTGCTGACACAATGTTGGATCTTGCCTAACTAAGATGAGCATCAAAGTCCACTTGCATGTACTAACAATATCAAAATTACCTTCTGTTATTAGATCGTCATTCATAACCATAGCAGAGGTCTCCTGGGGGAGGAAAAAACATGAATCATTTCTCTAAAGAAAAAACATCTATCTTCTATTTTTGAAAAAGGAAGCATTAAAGCACAATTGCTATAAACATTGTAACCTGATCCTCAGCTTCTTCCTCCACCTCCCTTTTTACTTTAAAGTCACATAAAGTTAGTGATTTAATGCAACTGAGCTGAGCTATATTTTGAGTTTATTGCATTTCAGTATAATGGTGGACAAACTCCAAGGGTTTGTCTCGTCTGAATCTTACTCATGTTAAATAAGGACAATCAGTTAAAGAAATGAATCAAACAGAAACATGATCCATGAATACAGTATAGCTATAATCCTATATGGCTTGGGACCAAGTCTCACTGAACTGGACAGTACTTCATAGTAAACCTCTATACGATTGGTTACAAAAGTTCTTAAAGCCTAGTTCAGCCAGCCCTCTCACTGTGTGTGTTTTAAAACAGCACAAGTTTACAATTGCAATCATATCTCAGGTTAAATATGCTTCAGGTTGAGTGTTTTCAGGTTGCATTCCGTGGCGATCCCGAAGTAACGGAACGGGTTACTTCCGGGTTTCACCGCTCGTGCATGTGCAGACGCTCAAAATGACGTCACGTGCACGCGCAGAAGCGACGAATTGCAACCCACACACGTGCAGACGCAGGTTGCGTTCTGCTCAGGATGCGAACGGGGCTCCGGAACGGATCCCGTTTGCATCCAGAGGTACCATTGTGTTGACAGATGTTAAAAAGCACCCAACAGCCATATTTAAGGTATATAGCCATTATTTCTACCAATGACCTTGTAAAAAAGCATGTAAGTATGCTCAAGTGGATACCTGAAATACAGCTGGATTCATAGCTTGCTGTCCCATATTTCCACTCTGTTGCATCCTTTCGTAAGATGCATAGCTGTAGTTGTAGTCATTATATTCAGCATTATAATCTCCATATTCAGCGTTATATTCTCCATATTCAGGGTAGTCACCGTAGCGGTCGGCAAAACGGGAACCAAAGCGCTCAGCATAACGTTCAGGAAAACGCTCCCCAAATTGTTCAGGGTAACGCTCAGGAAAACGGTCCCCAAAACGGTTACCTCGTTCAAAACGGTCAGGACGTTCATAGCGATCAAAGCGTTCATTTCTCTCATAATTATACTGGCGGTAGTAGTTTTGATAGTCTTGATAATAATCATTATAACTATAGGGCTGGTATCGCTGAAATTCTGCTTTCAATCTAAAACACAAGGCAAAAAAAAAAAAAAAAAAGAGTACAAGTTATCTAAAGCATGAAATAAAACCAATCATGCCAGGGAAAGTCTAGCAAAAAGTCTTGCAAAAACCACATTCCCTAGAAAAAGTTAACCTGAATACAGGGTCAAATCATTGTGCTAGGTCTCTTCTTCCGTCTGTTCAAGGATTTTTCCTAGCGCAATGGAACATTCTCTCCCTCCTAATTACCCATGGCCCCAATTTGTACTGGGGTTCCTCCAACTTACAGGAACAGATTTGGGGAAGGTGCATGGCGTACACAGAGGGAGAAAAGGGGGGAACGTGCAAGCGGAAACCCTGCTTGTGCAAGCGGAAACCCTGAAAATACTTCAAGAAGAAAAAGAAGAAGAAGAATCATGGCCTGGCTGTTTATGTTGTAATAATTATGCTGATTATTAGAAAGAAAAGCACGAAGATATTGACAATTATGCAAAAACAAAACAAAAACAGCCCTAGGCTCCAGAGTAGTCATATACAAATGATGTGTTTGTAAGAGATTAGTAAATTTCATGAGTTACCTTTTAGAAATGCCTAAAGTCAATCGGATTCGTTTTCCACCTAGACCAGGCGCATTCTGACAATCTTGCAATGCTCTCATCATATCACCTTCTTCAGAAAATCGGACAAAGCCATAACCCCTAAATAGTTTTAATACACATTTTAGTACATGTTCTAACACTCGCAAAGAAACAGAAAACATTCTATTAATATTCAATTCAGCAATTTAGTGCTGCAACTCATCAAGTTTACCATTTCTTTCCCTGGGTGTTCTCACCACACTTCTGGGATATCCCCCCAGGAATCTCTTTCAGAATGATTTGTTAGGGTGTTAGGGTTTGACGAAATAAATTAGAATACTATTTATTTCAAATTTTATCAAACCCTAACACCAGCATAAACTGAAATTACTTAGCCTCTAACAATCAGGTTTTTTCATGGGATCTTCGTGCTTACTAAGTTCAATATTATCTAGTAGTACAGTATTTTAATATTTTTTTGGAAGCCGCCCAGAGTGGCTGGGGAAGCCCAGCCAGATGGGCAGGGTATAAATAATAATTTTTTATTATTATCATCATCATCACTGGTCATGAAATGACACCCAAAAAATTGGTTACTGCATCATTGGTGGACTCCTAGATTTCCAATGGTCAGTCAAATAAATTCCATTCCAAAAAATGTTAGCTCCAGACTACTTCTCTTTGCCCCCTGTAAACTGGAGATATCTTACCATTCTCCTTACACTTGATTTTGATTAATGTTATCTTCCTTTCCTTATTAAATGCAACATGTGCACTTAAGATATGCAACTTCATAAATAGTTCAAGAATAGTTCAAAAAACTACTCGTTTGTTACATGATCATATAGAGCTATGACGTATTAAATCTGGATCATATTAGGTTTCTCAAACTACAGCAGACCTCTCTATGTAAGTGTAAGCACTCACTAAGAACTGCAGCTCTGAATTTCCCTCCCGAACATGCTACTTTTCCATTGAGATACCATGTTCACACTATGAGAAGACTGAACACCATTTGTCTATCTTCTCTCTTCCTATTGGAGAATCCACATTTGTTTCTTGATGTGCAGAGCTCACTACGAAAAGCTTTTGAGCGCCTCAGTTGTACACTGTTTGTTACCACCAATGCTTTTTGTTCTGTAATAAGTTACCTGGAATATCCCAGCAGATCTGTGGCCACTTTGCAGTCTACAGAAGATGGATACCTTTTGAAAAAGTAGTCATAGAGCAAGAAATCATCCACCTCGGGAGTTAACTCTCCTACAAATATTGCAAATTCTGGCCTTGTAAATTCTGGCCTAACAAATTCTTGCCTTGGAAATTCTGGCCTGTAAGAAATGTAAAGAAAAAATACAATTAGTAGTCTTGCAGTAAAAGCCTCAGGGCCCTGTAGGTTACTTTCCAGAGTGTATGTCACTCAAATACCTACCTAGGATTGATCCAGCCAATACTTGTTTGTCCTTGTCCATGGTGCATTCACGGGCACCATGCACAGAAGCAATTATCTTGATCATGTCTGAGCAACAATCCTCAAACCACTTTTCTCGGCTTCAGACCAAACTGTCCGAGAGGCTGCTCCCCCAACACAAACCACCTTTCCAAACCACCCAAGTGAAAAATATTTACTATACTATTAAATCCATGAAAGAGGTCAATTACCTCCTCCAAAATAAAGTTAAGCAGTACTTTTAAGCAGCTTGTGGGTTTTTATTAGCCTTCTCTGCTTTCGGATTCAAGATAGCAGTTCTCAAAGCTTAGTCCAAAGCAACCCTGCTAGCATCCATGAGCGAAGAGTCAATATTTTGGGTGGAATTCACTCTAGCACCAAAGAGAATGTTCTGTCAGCACAAGCATTTATATGTGTTTTGTTGGGCAAGCTATCCTCCTGCCATGTGCTGTTCTGGGGGTTCCCCAGACCCTCCAGAGAGGATTTAGGGAAGGCACGGGGGAGCAGCCATGTTGCTCTAATGGGAGTCCTTGCACTGGCTTCCACTACCAGAAGGGGCAATTAAATCCAGCCCTTTATTTTCTTCACTGTTACCTCACTAACATCAAGAGATACCAAGCTTACAAAATAATGTGATTCAACTTATATGGCCAAGCAGAGGCACATATTCAACTGATGCAGAAAAGAACTAAAATTAAGCAAGTTTTTCTGCAGCTCGAACTAGTTATTAATTTTATCTATTTTGTTATTACTGTTGCCTTCTCCCATAGCTGTGGCTTGAATCATTTGGAGCCTTCTGCTCTGCAAGCGCCTTTTCATGTTCTCTGTTAGCGCACAGCACTAGCTGGGTAATATGTAAAGAGGGCTGATATCTAGGAAATCTTGCATAAACAGCAAAAAGATGGACCTATGATTCTGCTTCTTCTAGCTCTAGAACTCTAATCCTAAACTCTACATTTATATTCCCACTTTAGAATGGTTAAACTGAAGCAAGAAATAGGGAGAATGAACGTGACGGAAATATCATTAACATTAGCAAGCATGGATGAGATTAAGCAAGCAACACCCCAAAATGCTGTAATATTCAGCATGAGTTGCTTTGAGCAAGTGGGGCATATTCTAAAAAAAAATTGTGCAGCCCTTTTTCCAGCAACATTGATCAGAGAATGCCAATACACTTTACATATATCGTACCTACATATATTAGCCAAAAGCTAAGTATGAAAGAATCTTCAAGTAGCTTTATAGATAGTTATCCTGACAAACGGACACCAGTTGCAAGTATTTAACTAACTGTGGACAATATTATCATAATATAGTTTGACTCTAATTACAGACCAGATTCTCTGTTGTTCTATGACCTCATTAAAAATAAAACTGAATTTGTGGAAATGAATGGGGCTTGTCAATATCCCACGGCGAGGTGGGCTTCAAATTTATATCCAAAGTGTTTTATTACTATTAATACTTTGTAGTGCCAAGGTACGTTTACTGCCTTTCTAGCCATTGAGATGGCTGTTGTGATTTTATTCAACATGTGCCCTCCAAGATGAATACAGTACATGGTAAAACCTTAAGCATCAAAAGGTAAACGTGGTACAAAAGATAAAGCAGATCTCAAATGACACTGAGAAATAATCAGAAAACCTTTTGAGAAGCAGGGAACAAACCAACAGGGTACAATACTTGTGTATATTCTGGATGTCTACCATCAGCCGTATCAGCTTTCATGCTGAACACAGAATTCTCCCGATAGTCTTGGAACCGTTGCCTGAAGCCTTTTAACTTGTTTCACTTTAATTACAAGTTCATATCCACTGGGCCTTTGAAAGCTACTAAATAAACACCTCCATTAAAACTGGCTTATTTCTTTATTTACAAAATACTTTTTTTCAGAACAGCCTAATGAGGGTTTTTTTGTTAATTTCGTGCTATTTGATTTAAATACTATTATATGGACAAGAGCCGGCTTTTTTCTTGTCAGTTTCAAGGTTTCTTCACCTGCTTGGAATACTAGTAAAATCTGGTCTTCCTGCTCTTGCTTTACTCTTTTTCTTCCGTTTTTTGTGGGGGGATCTCCACCACAGAGGCAGGCTTTCTTTTTTGGCCTTTCCCACTGTATCCTGCTAGAATGAAAAACAGTTATACAGTATTTCATCTCAATTAAATGCCTCCCTCCCTCTCCCGATCACCACCTTGGTGATTTCCCCATATTCACCTTTCCCTTGACAGAAGCCTGGGGTCCCATCTCTCCCTCCGCCTCCCATGAGGGAAAGCAGCCTCTGGGGAAAATGCCTGGCAAAAATAACAGAGCCAAAGGATTGTATGAAAAGCCATATTCCCCTGACTTGGTCAAGCTGGCTATAGGAGTAACTGCTTTTCACGCCAACATTTTGACTCCCCTCGGTTTCCTTAATTTAAAAAAAAAGTTAACCATTAGAGGCTGACCAAGCATGAAATTTAAGACTTGCTTTTACAACAGGACCCTGCTTTAGATCTCTCCAAGACTTGCCCAGAGACGCTACAGCAGAAAGAGGTCCAGTGTATGAGATGCAGGGCCAGGTCACCAATTATTATTTTTAACCTAAAAGGGGTTTTGGGCTCTTCTCTGAGATATTGATCAACACTGCCAGGTATTGGCCACTATCTCAGGGCAACTGTCTGGGGTAGACTGAATCTAAAGCGCAGCCAAAGGAGCTTACGTCAAGTTTTTACACTAGCAACATGCAAGTGAAAAAAAATGCCACATCCAAAAAAAGAAACCAGCAGAGGCAGTTATATGGGAAGGAAAAGGGAAGGAGGCGGCAGTCGACCAGATAACAAAGGCAATATCCCTCACCATCCCCGGATAGAGATTAAACATTTTCATTTAAGGTTTACTTACATGGATGGTATCATTTCACTTCTAGCGCACCAGTTCAGGCATCCTAAATAGTGTGTGTTATAGGAAAGTCCCACCACAAGATCTCACTGTGCAACAGTGCAGAAAGCAAAGCTTCTTGTTCTGCCCCCAAGCTGCTTCAGTTGACGTGATTAAGGATTCCACAGCAGGGGAGAACAATCTGTCAGAAATTCATCTGAGGAAAGCATAGGGCTAAAACCCACCACCACCGCCACTCCTCCCCCAGAAATCCTTGCTTAAGTTTGACATTTGCCAATGGCTCTGACCATGGCTAATGTCTTCCCCTAAGGAGCTATGAATGTGGTGTCATTCTCATAAAATGGTCTTACCTGGCTAGCCATTGTTAAAAATTATCTTCAGAAGAAAAATACGCCGCGGCTGCTCTTTTTGATGCTCTGTTTTTTATAAAAAAAGAAAAGAAATGTGTAAGATTTTTTTAAAATGAAAAATAATCTGCCTTTAATTGCAGGACTGCTGCAAATATAACCTAATGACCACTTAGATTTTGTGGAATTCCTTCCTTGAGGAATATAACAGTGACCAAGAAGAATAGTAGTTACAGGTGAAATTCAAATCCAAGTCCATCAACCTTCTGGAACAGATTTTCCAGACACGTGAACAGGGAGGAGGAGAGGAAGAAGTCACACTGGAAAGTGGAAGCTCATTTTTGCTGGCAGATGGACACTGTTAGAATATCACCCAATTTGTTTAGATTTTGTACATCTTGGCCTTGACATTGAAAAACAATTTGATGGAAGAGTATACTTTTTTGAAATGAGTAGTTTACCACAACATTTAAGGTTTATTAATTTTATGAAATTAATAATTTCTCTACCAACTTTCAACACTGAAGTGCACTTAAGGAAACTCATAATAAAACTACAATTAATAAAATCATGAATGAGGCCTAGTTTGACTTTTCCTGCCTGGTGAGGACACAGAAAGTATACTAGTTAGAGAAAACCCACCAAACCCACGAGTGTCTATCAGAAGTACCAGATTAAGAAGCATCCCTAAGATGCAAACTTGTTGCTTCAAGATAAATACAACTCTACATGGGTATAGTCTCCTCCCAACCTGAAAATTAAAGAAAAACACATTCCCCCTTTTATTAGGGTATGCTGTGCCCTTTATTTTTTTTAAATTCTGTGTTTGCCAAATTAACCAAAGCAATATAGTTATAAATTATACCTTTATGTGCAGTGTCTACATTAGGACAAAATTAGTTTGGAAGTACTACATTCTATGTCAAACTATAATGGTACCTTTGTTCCCAAGGTACAAGAGCAAATCAAATCTGTAGATCAGCAATGCAAAATGTAAAATATGCAATCAGGAAGCTAATATATTGCTCTACTTACAAGATTGCTGACAGACATAGCATCTTTCAAGACATGCAAATAACATGTTCTACAACTAGTTCTTCGAGCGGAATAATTTCAACTTACCAGTCAGTGTCTTCTACACAAACTGCCAAATAAAAATAACTCTGGATGCAGAAGATGGAGAGTACCAAAGTAAGGTGTCATCCAAAGTATTTCGAGTTCCAAGTATCTTATGAATTCACAACTATTTTTGGTACTTTCTTCCTCCACGATTGCTAAACAACCTATGTTTTCACTACAATAGAAAGAAAGAAAGAAAGAAAGAAAGAAAGAAAGAAAGAAAGAATTAGAGACACATAACAGTTTCATAGCAATAGGACTTATTTTGACCGAAGCAAGAACTGGGAGCCTTTTTGCTGTTTTGTACTGGTATTACAAATCTTTGGTGAGAGTATACTAAATTGGGTAAGTCTCAATGAAATCATCAAAACTTGTTTCCGTGATACTTTTCCAAACACAAAGCACACCACATAATTCTTAGAATAATTTTAGAAGAATACATTCCATAGGTAAGTGAGAAACCCAAAGTGTTGCATCCCATTATATCTGCACATGATTGAGATGAATTTATGTTAATGCAACAGAACTTCACTTTCCTCTCATAAGAAAATAAAAGCCCTGTTGGATCAGGCCAAATGATCACTTAGTTCAGCATTCTGTCCTTACATAGAACAGCCAGGTGTTCATGGGAAACCTGAAAGCAGGACCTGAGCACAATTCGCAGAACTGCCACTGACAGTAGAAAAAGAACAAAGCTAATTTGGTTCGTTGCTATTGATAGCCTTATCCCTCCATGAATTGTCTAATCCTCTTTTAAAGGCATCCAGGTTGGTGGCCATCACAATAGGCTGCAGGAACATAATTCCAGGGTTTAATTTCAAAGCAAGATTGGGGGGGCACATGGAGGAAGGTGAAAAACTCATAAAGAGTTTAACAGATTTTGATTGCACCCTAGTAGTTTGGGCAAAATATAAAACAGAAAATAAATTTCTGAAAAAGACGCTTTCAAATCTGAAAAATCCAAAATTAAGTAGTTCCCGCATTTTCTGTAACAGATGTTCAAGAAGGGGGGGGCGGCGGCAAAAAGTTGTGTTTCCCAATAGAAATATGACTGTGTAATACAGTACTGTGATTTTTAAAAAAATCAAAAAACCACCTTACCAGGTCCTTCGTTTTTCAACTGAAAATTAGATTTCGCCTAGAACTGTATGTTTAGCAAAATATATCTGAGTATCTAGAAGGCGTCTCTGTCTCCCTTGAGTTTTAAGAGTTTAAAACGGGGGGGGGGGGTGCTTTACATTTCAATTCTAGACCCGCCTGTTGGGGTTTTTTTAAGTCCCATTAGTCCAACGCGGCTCACTTTCCCCTAGCGACGCTTAACGGTGCAACCGGGCTACGTCTAAAACGAAAGCCCTGGGCTGAGCCTTTCGCAGAAAGCCCGATCCAACGGTCCCCCAAGGTACAGGTGTCAGTCTTAAGCGGCACAGCCTGAACTAAGCGCGCCCAGGAGGATTGCGCAGCCTTGCGCGGGGCCAACCCGACAGCGAGCGGGCGGGAGAAGCGAGTCTCCCGCACGCGCCGAGGCCTCCCTCACAGGGGCGGGGCTGGAGAAACTCCACGAGAAGAGCCGGGGGAGCCTGAAAACCACCCCCAGAAGCGCCGGAGGGAGGCCGTTAAGGAATGAGAAGCGCCTGTTCGCCACCCGGCAGCGCCACCCGCGCTCCCTCAGCCCCTCCGATACTAACGTCTCCGGCCTTCCTGAGAGCCGCCATAACGAGGAGTTCGGATGTCGCAACGCTCCCTTCCGCCGCCGCCCCGCCTTCTTCCTTCTCCTCCCGACGACTTCCGCCCAAGGCTGCCCGGTGACTGCCTGTTTGTTTTACTTCCGGCCGCTCCTCCCGCCGCCCCCTCATACGAGGTCGAACGGGAAGCGACAGTCAGTGAGGGCGGCTCCTGATCAGGCGGGAGAAATAGACAATCCCACGCCGCACAGCTATTAAGGACCCCAGCGTCATTAGGTGCCGCCGAAAGGCTGAGAAATGGAGCTGTTAGGGGGCTGCTACGAACAGGTACTCTTCGGGTTCGCGATACAGCCGGGTGAGGTAAGAACTGTATTTAAAAAAAACAAAAACCAAACGAAAGCGAGGGGCGGGGTTGGAAAGAGCAAAAAGTGGCGCGCTGTGCACTTACAGCGCGAGGGCCGCATGCGCGACGCACGCCACGCGAGATGCGACGCGCACGAGGGTCACGGGGGAGCTTGGCTGGCTCGCCTCGTCTTGCTCAAAGGCTTCCTTCCCAGAAGCCTTCGCGGCATTTGCCGCGCGCAGCTCCGCCCTTGTGGGTTCGAATGTTGCCTAGGTGATGGCGAGGAAAGGGCGTCTTCCTCCCGCTCATAGGAGGAACCACGAGGGTCATCTAGTCCAACCCCCTTGCAATGCAGGAATACTTTTGCCCGACGTAGGATTCGAACCCACGACCCTGAGCTTAACAGCTTCGTGCTCTACCGGCTGAGTTATCATATCCTCCAACATTTAGGGACGTCCTATTCTGTTGTTGTTGTTGTTTATACCCCGCCCATCTGCCTGGGCTGCCCCAGCCACTCTGGGTGGCTTCCAACATCTATAGGCAACAAAATAAATTACTAAATAATTAAAAGCTTACCTCTACAGCCTTCAGATGGCTCCGGGGTCTTGATGACTCCATACCGTCTAACATTTCTCCAATGAAAATAGAGACGTCCTAAGGAAAAGCAGGACATTCCGGGATCAAATCAGAAACTGGAACAGTTTCTGTAAATCCAGGACTGTTCCTTCGAAAATAGTGACACTTGGAGGGTCTGATTCTACCCCAGTTTCCTCCAAGTGAAGGAGATCAAGGCGGCATCCCCATCTATCCTCACAACAAGCCTGTGAAGTAGAGATTGTGACAAATTTCGATTTTAACAAATTTTGCGATGGTTCCTCAGCTGACCAGATATCTCCTTTATTGAACATGGAATGTTTTGTTTGCTCTGTGCACATTCTGGTCTTGATCCCAACAAAGTTCATCCTAGCTAAGTCCCTTTTAGAACTGTGACAGTCACTCCCATTGCTTTCATGGAACTGTAGCTTTATGAGGCTTTGCCCTCGGGTGGGAAAAATATTGCGCCCGGGAAAGGGAAAATGGGAGTCAACAGACACTCAAGGAATAGTTTCGGAGAAAAAGCTTTATTTCTACCATCCATGAACTGGTAGAAGGAGCAAGTGCGATAACTCACAAAAAGTATGCACGGGTTCACAGTCATGTGCACAGAGTATACATTCCCCTTCCAGTTCCCTCCCCTTTCTCCTCCCTCAGGAGTCCTGCCTTGAGTTCCCCTGAGCATGAACAGAAAGCTCCTGTCTTGGGACTCTTCCCAGGAAAAGGGGAATGAGAACAGTTCAGCATGTCCAAGATGTTGCAACTAGAAGGAGATAAAAGTCAGTTCTCAGGCCTGCTCTGACAGAGTCTATTGATTAGCTTTTTGAAGCCTTCTTGTGCTGATAAAAGTAACGGTTTTTCCTATGTACCAGAATCTTGTGAGAATCCACAGAAAAGCTGTAGCTGTGGATTTTTAGAAGACAAAAGGAATTTTGGACAGTTTTGAGGCCTGGTGTGATTATTGAGTGGGGGGGGTGACTTCGGGCCTAGGTGGGGTCACCTGTCCTCACCTTCCTTCAGAACTTGTTGGTGAATAGGATTAGCTGCATCAGGCCCTCTGAAGATTAGTTCCCTTTTTCTGTTTTAAAAATTGGGATATCATTAGCAAATAACAGTTGTTCTTTTATGTTTCATCTTCAGAACTGGTCAGCTCTTCCTGATTTCACCCACCATGCTCACACTGCTTCACTGTCCGCAGTAGCTGTGAATGACAGATATGTAGTCACTGGCAGCAAGGATGAAACCATACAAATCTACGACATGAAAAAGAAAGTAGAACATGGGGCACTGATGCAACACGATGGTAAGGGGCTTATCATTCTTGTATTAGTTGCATGGATTGGGAGTGAGATATGTATTAGTGGGAGTTGGTTCTGAGCAGGACTTAAGTATGAAGAGGCTTACAAATATTTGCCCTGATCCAGAGGCTACTTGCATGAAAGGCTGCAAGCATAAAGGCTTCCTCATTCACTTCTTTATTATTAATAAAAAGGGAAGCCAGGTCCAGCAGGTGCCCCATGTGCATGCTGAAGTGCCTGTGGGATTCTGGATCAAGGGCACAGCCTTTAATCCAGAACATGGTAAAATGCACATGCCAACCTTATTTCAAGGGTTTGTTTCCAATTCTAAGCAGCATATACAGAAATAATTTTCATGGATCTCAGTGGACTCAAATTCAAAGTGGTACTGAGAACTGCAGGGTTCCTAGACACCAAATGATAGCCATAAGCTTCCAAACATAGTTTAGCATGTACAGTTTTGCGGGGCATATGTAAATCTGCTATGCTGCAAAATTATTATTTTGAAATGTAGAAGACATGTTTTAGTTCAAAATACATTAAATGTAACTGATTTGCATGGATTTTCAGGCACTGTAACTTGCTTGGAATTCTATGGAAGTTCACATTTGTTGAGTGGAGCTGAGGACGGTTTAATATGCATTTGGAACACAAAAAGATGGGAGTGCTTAAAGTCCATTAAGGCACACAAGTAAGCATTGTTTTCTTCTTTTAAAAAAGTGTATGGCTTAATTTCAGAGTTGCATGAGAAGCTGTTCTGGAGGGTTTCTTGAAGTTGTTTACAAGCCTATATATTTATCACACACGTGCGATAAGCAGAGAATGCAGCATAAAACAGTTGTAAAATATCATTATGAAACAATTGTTATTAGAAAAATAGTATAAGAATCAAGCAACAACCAAGTCAGCCTAAGTTTGTTACTGCCCACAAACTCACCTAAACAACTAAGAAAACGCAGTACGATCAGGTTGGGGCAGGTTTTTCAATTAGGGAGTTCAAGTACGCCACTGAAGTGTAACAACTGAGGATGCTCAGTTGTAGTGTAACCACTGAGGAGGCTCCAGGAGTAGTCAATCTTTTTATACCTACAACCCACTAATGCATCTTTCTTGATGGTAAAATTTCCCTACCGCCCACCAGTGCTCGATGGAAGGAGGATTCAGCTTGTGCCGTAGAACCCCCTACCGCCCACCTAGAATCCTGAAACGCCCACTAGTGGGCGCTAGGGACCAGGTTGACAATCCCTGCTCTAGTCTGAGCTTTCATTGATACTATTTCCCAGGGTTGTAGAATCTGGATATGTCAGAATTGGGAACTTCTTGTTGTTTTTTAAGCTGTTTATATCTCACGCTTAATCAAAAGGATCTCAGGGTGGATAAAAGTCAAACTAAAAATAATAATACCAATATATAACCCCTCTCCCAAGAATATATATAAAAACACAATATATCCACCATCTCTCAGCTGATAGTTAGTATTAGTTTTCAGAAGCCTGTGAAATCATGCCATGTTTTAAGCCACTTGAGTTTTCAAGTGGATTTCAGGGGGCAGGGGGTTCAAAGGCAGGGTGCCACTACAGAAAAGATCTCCCCGCACGTCACCCCCACAAATGTAGTTCCAAATGGCAGGATGCAAAAGACGGCCTTAATTCATGGGCAGCATTTAATTATTATTGCTAGTGAGTTCGTGGGAGTAATGAATCTTGACTTTCATTTGCTCTTTTTATCAGGGGACATGTGACATCTTTTTCTATTCATCCTTCTGGGAAATTAGCTTTGTCAGTAGGAACAGACAAGACGTTAAGGTGAGTCGGAAGGTTGCAACTTCAGAAACATTCATTTTAGTTTTATTTAAAACTTTAGGTTCTTCTTTTCTGTAAACTCAAAGCAATTAACAAGTGATACAAATTCAAAAAGAAGTCCCGGGGGGGGGGACACATTAAATTGTTCATTTTTTAAAACTAGTTAATTCTTCCCTCCAAAATATGTTTATTAAGCATCTTGTTTTTCAGAACATGGAACCTTGTAGAAGGAAGATCTGCATTCATAAAAAATATAAAACAAAGTGAGTATATCCTCTTTGCATTTTGTCGTATTTTGTAATTATAGAAATGTTCGTGCATTGCCAAATACCATGTGTGTCTCATTTTTTAGTCCAGAGTCCACAGTTATTGTGTCCTTGGATTTGTGAGGCAGCCCTGAAAACTCCGAGAATCTCTATTTGTTACACAAACGTTTCAAGGTCCCCATTGCCTCATAATCTCCATTACCTCATGATCACATTAAATGCTATTATAAGTCACCAGCCTTCTTACTGGCAATTGTTCCTGGCAGAAACCTCATCCCCATCCTGAGTCCTATCCCTCCTCTGAACCCTTCAAAGCCCCTATCAATCTATGTTAATGGCTCTCAAGTTCTTAGTCTCCTATATTCTGGAGGTTACCTGCTGAATGCCTCCAAGCAGTTTTTCTTGCTT